CCTAGCCATGCTGGAAAAAGTGCCTGTAGGTGTGGGCTGGCTGGCGGTGCTCAGATCTGCTTTCTTGTTGAGCCCTGCATTGTCTGTAGCAGTTGATCTCTGTGGACCTGGAGGGGGATGTGAAGGACCACTCCCAATGACTAAGAGCCATGAAGTGCCACATCCAAGAATGCTTTTTCCCTACCAGACCCTCGTGCCCCACTTAGGAGTTGTTCCTGGCTCCCTGGGGACTGAATGTCCCATTGTGGAAAGTATTTCTGACATTAGCATGCTCAAGGCCTCACCCAAGATTAGGAGACTGTTGTGCAATACACAAACGATAATTTCCTGCCCTGGGGACCTTGCAGTCCTCATAAATGGTAGGTGTGAGGGGAAAAAGATCTCCTTTTATACAGCAAGCTGATGACCAGGACAGGGACAGGACCCAATCCATCCTCTCCACCAGCCAGGTCATTCAGTGAGATTTCATGATCTGCTCTCACGTGAGAAGCTCCTTCATGGACTAAAGGTAGGGTCTTATGAAGAATTACGTAGAAGGCCGTTAGCATTAGTCAACACCAGGGACCAAACCCATAAAAAGAACTGAGTGATCCCAAGACTGATATTATCCAAGATAAGGGCTGGGCAAAGGCATTCTGGGGGAGCTTCAAAGAGGAAGGTGAGGCCATTCACCACACAAGAGACTACTCCAGCCACGGGCCTGTGTCCTTCTCAGCCTCACCAGAAAGCGTTATCCTTTCCTCAACCCTGTCCCCCTCTGGCCATACCTGGCTTTGGGAGAGGGAGTAAATCTCTCCAGCAGAAAGGCTGTTACAGAGGTCACCGGACGGACCCATAAATCTCCATTATCAGGCAGCGGCTCCTGTGCCACAGAACGGAAATTATTGCCCTGAGTGCGACTGGGGGAGCCTTTCCTTCCCCCCGCATTGTTCAGGGCCCTCCGGGAGCTGCTTGGGCAATTTGCTGCCTGAATAAACGTTTCCTTTCCCAGCTGCTAAGTACAAGGAATAAGTGTCAGGGGATCTCATAACGCCAGGATTTAGAGCTCCAGCCCCGAGACGGAAGCCAAGAAAACACTTTGCTGGTTTTTCCTGGGGAGCCTCCAGTCTGCTGTGCCTTAATCCCCATTATTAATAACAGTGGCAAATTAAACAGTTAGTGCACTTGAAGCCCAGTGACCTCCATGCTTGATGTAGCTTAGCCTGCTGGTGGGCTCTGAGCCCTGGGCTTCTCTTGGCAGGGACCCTGGAGATATGGCTGTCTTCTCATGAGCACCCAGGCATGGGGAGGGGGCTCTTGCCCCCAGCTATGGCCCTGGGGGAAGGAGGCAGGCAGAGATCATGGCCCAGATATTCAGAAACAGGCCGCTATTTTGAGCATTTGCTTTACCTAGGTCTTGGACACCCACCCGTGTCAAACTGCATGGGCTGCAGCTCTTCAGGTGATACTTCCTCATTGTTTTGTAGACCCTCAGATTGCCAAAAGCAGCTAGGATGTCTCAGCTGTGTGGCCAGAAGGTTGGCTTAGAAAGCTCTCCGCGGCAACTTCCTCCCTGAGTTTAATGATGCTGGGAAAATACAGCACCTCTTTTAGAAAGAAATCCAGTCCCTTGCCTTCCACTTCTCCATCCGTACCAAAATGCCCTTTGTTCACTCAAGGGCAGGCACTAAGCCTACGTCATCTTCTCTGAGCCAGTATCCAGTAGTGTCCAAGACACATCCTTTCCCATCACCAAGCATACTTTGAAGGAGGAGAAGATTTTTTCCTCCAGGTGAGTTCTGTTGAGGTCAAGGAGGTCCCTCTGCTCTGACGGGGCTACCGGAATGGTTTTAATGAGGTTGCACTCTGCAGATGTCATCTGCTGACTCAGCACTGGGTGGTGGACACGAGGGACGCACCCATCTGATATCGCCCCGTGAGCGCCGTGATTAGGGAGAGCCACCCATTGCGTGGAGCCTCGGTGTGCCCTGGGAGCAAAGTCTGTTCCTTCCCCATCTCCAGCACCAGCGGTTCCTGTTTATTAACATTCACGAGGATCACCTCCGTTTGCAGCTGAGACAGGAAAATAACAGAAATGTTATTACTACGGAAGCAGAAGAGCGTTTTTGGAAACTTCAGTCAGTGCAAGTCCCTCAAGAGAGAAGCTCAAGTCCAAATCCCATGGAAACTGAAAAGAAACAACCCCACCAAACCCCCAAAGAAGTAGTGAAGAATTTAGCTCAGACAAATACAAATGAAAAAGGAGAGCAAAGGGAGCAGATCTCACGGCTGCTTTGTACTGGGGTTTTAGATGTCTGATTACAAACCAATAGTGAAAACAACGTGGACAGTGGATCTGGTTGTCACAAAAACTCTTAGGAAATAGCAGTGAATATTCAGTAGCAAATTTGATTATTGTCAGAAAATAAGAGACTTACACTTTGCCTGGTTTCAACTTCACATCCTCCGTTTTTTTCTAAAACCAGAGTTATACCATACTTGGCATTTCTTATTATCGTACCCATTTTGAGTGACCTTCTTATTCAAGAGCTCGTCCAACTCTTAACATTTCTGAGGCACTGTTAGGAGTTTTCTCCTTTTTCTTTGATTAAAAACTTTCAGATTTTGCTTTTCTGGTGGAAAAACCTCCAGGAAAGACGATATTTTGTAATTAGTCACTGACACAGCTCAAATCGGTCAAGAGCTTTAACTGTTACCTTTGGACTACCTCTGCTCTGCTAAATTCTCCCTGGATTATGTCAACAACTTTGTACTGAGTTATATTCAAAGAAGAAGGGATTTTCTCACAGGACAAAAATTACTGTGAAAATAATTTGGCTTTTTCTTTGGAAAATGATAATCAAAAACCTCAACAACTTCTAAGAGAAAAAAAAAATAGTGAAATGTTTTCCTTTCTTGAGATTTTTCAAGGAAATGAGTCCTTTCCTGACCAGCTGTTCCAATCCCTTCTCTTTTCAAAGCAAGTTTATTTGATCTAGATTTTGGCTGCAACTCAATGGTGACTTAAAAGGGGAAAGTGAGGCATTATGGTTACAGTATCACTGAATCCACGTGTCCAAAAATCACCTGGAGGGATTCCCATCTTTCCTAAACCACCAGAATTGCTCAGAGGTAATGAGATTTTCCTGAGCTGCTGAGAAGATACTGGATTCCTCCTTTTCTGGCTCCAGAGCCCCTTGGCTCATTTAATGTTTGCTAGTATTTCCCTGTTGCCACACAGTGCAATCTCCTGCCATTTTTAGCCTGGTTTTCTAGGGAGAATTAGGCTCACGTGAATCTTTTCCTCTGTGTCTGTGTTTACTGGCGCCAATTTAATAATTTTTTAATCCTTTGGCTGTTTCATGGTTATGCAGTTTCCCACAAAAATAGTCTGGAGAAAAGAGAAAATAAAGCTGAAGTTTGAACACAACCCATATTAGATGTCAGAGAATCCACATAGGATTGAGACGCAGATCAGCAAGAAGCAGATTTGGTTGGTTTGCTCTTTGGGGAACTATCATCTTCCAGCAGAAAGCTGAGATACTCGTATAACAAGCAGGTGGACAAGCACAAAATATAGCAAGATGCACAATAACATTTTAAGAGTTAATGTTCTGCTGGTCTGTAATGGCTGAAGGTCCTGATGCAAAGCTCTTGACGTTCTCGAGACACCTCCTGTGCGATGCAGTTTGTTGGGAATTTTTTTCAGCAGCCTGGTTTATTCCCAGTCTATGCTAAGTAATGGAGCCCTTTGCTGTCATTGGTCATTTTCTTCTTCTCCCCAATTATTTTACCATCTAGTGTTCCCTTTTTGGTCCCCACATCAGTACGTGTCCATGTGCAGGAACGAATGGTTTTGTAACAGAAGAAATACATGCCCGGGCTGAACTCAATAGCTGATCCTCTCCAGGTGGGATCACCGTCAGGAACGTACATTTTGAAGGGCCATGCCAGCTGGATGCAGCTACATTTACATCTCAGCAAGGCCTCTAGCTGATGATTATATTTTATTAGGTGAAATTCTTGGCTTCTTGAGGGCAGTGTGTCCAAGGGTGAGCTGACCTATGTCTTTCCAAATGATGATGCAGTCAAGGTGTGTTGCGTTGACCTCTGTGTCGCCTTGCAGATGATGGGGACCTGCTGTAGCCCAAGGGATTGGACTGGCCCAGCCCAGGGCAATTTTCTTCACCCTCACGTCACCACTGTGGCCGGGCCCCAGTGGAGGGTGAAGCAGGAACGTGGTGGGTGAATGCACCCAATCCTGGAGAGTGACATCAAACACTTTTGAATCAAAAGCTGATTTTCTCTGATACCTGTGAATGCCAAATGATGTCTGTTGGCTGACAGCCTGAGCTGGGGTTGTGCCTGTGGATTTTATAGTTCAGGAGATGCTTCTCGTGCAGAGAATAAGGTGAAGGCACATGAACTTCTCTCCCCCTCGGCTCTCTGCTGCCATTCCCCTCTGCAGAGGGGCAGGGGTGGGAGCTGATATGGGCTGGATGAGGAGAAGATCTGCAGGATAGCAGGGCATACAAGCACGGCTTTCCCTGCCCACGTTTGCTTGAGCCCTGCTGAAGGATGCTGGGGCAGCTGTCTGATCTCTGGGCAGCTCTGCTCAGTGGGTCCAGGCTTGTGTTTGCCCGTGGTCCTGATTGCAAACACGGCTGTTCGCCTGCCCCAATCTGTTTGCCCTGGCTATGCCCAATCTTGAAAATTGGATAACGTCAGAGCAGAAGGGAAGGTTTCTATTTCTGTCTCCTTGTATCCGTGTCCCAGCACATCCCTGCTGCCACACAAGTCCTGCAGCCAACACTGAATGGCAGGGAAAGGGGTTCCTCTTCCCAATAATCCCAGGGGCTTCCCTGAGAAAGGAAGAGCTGTTTCTTGCACCCTATAAAATATGAATGTTTGTGATTTCTTGAAATGTTACTTCTGAGCTCAAATACTGAGAACCAGACCAGAAATTAAATGTACGGCCGCCTAATTAACCAAGTCTTTTCCCTTCTCTCCCACCATGGCAGCAGAATTTTTTGATGATTATTCAGAGGGTCGAGAATGTGTCAACTGTGGGGCCATGTCCACCCCGCTCTGGAGGAGAGATGGCACGGGGCACTACCTCTGCAACGCCTGCGGGCTCTACCACAAGATGAATGGCATCAACCGGCCCTTGTTCAAACCTCAGAGGAGGCTGGTAAGTCAAGATCACACAACGCATGTGGGGCAAGGCTGCATGCGAGGATGAGGCAAAAAGACCTTGGCTAGGTGGAAGTACCTGGGGTGTTTCCACTCCTTGGGTCCCCATCTGCCCAAGCTAGGTGGTTTTGGTCCAGATTTCCAAAATAAGACAGATTACCTAGTGTTTGGTATGCTCCAAGATCCTGTACTGTTCAGACCAGTTCTGCAGATGCCCAGGCCAGGTGGTGGAAGGGGCTGTAGGGCACAGGGGCAGTAATGTGCTGTCGGTTTAGCAAAAGCCAGTCTTTGCTTTAGTACCTTTTCCAGCTCCACCACACCACCAGTTCACCTTCTCTTACCCTCAGGGTCCTTAGTCCTCAGTTGCTTCATGGTGACTGGCCACCTTTTCTGGATACCCTGGTCCTTTGGAACGAGCTGAAGCAGAGCTTGTGGGGCAGGTCATAAAATCATAGAATTGTAGAATGGTTTAGGTTGGAAGGGACCTTAAAGATCATTTCACTCCAACCCCCTGCCATGGGCAGGGACACCTTCCACCAGACCAGGTTGCCCAAAGCCCCGTCCAACCTGGCCTTGAACACTGCCAGGGAGGGGGCAGCCACAGCTTCTCTGGGCAACCTGGACCAGGGCCTCACCACCCTCAGAGTGAAGAATTTCTTCCTTATATCTAATCTGAATCTCCCCTCTTCCAGTTTAAAGTCATTACCTCTTGTCCTATCACAACACGCCCTTTTAAAAAGTCCCTCTCCAGCTTTCTTGTAAGCCCCTTCAGGTACTGGAAGGCTGCTCTAAGGTCTCCCTGGAGCCTTCTCTTCCCCAGGCTGAGCAGCCCCAGCTCTCCCAGCCTTTCCTCACAGCAGACGGGTTCCAGCCCTTGGATCATTTCTGTGGTCAGGGCATCCCAAAACCTGTGCGGTGGGGTGGGGTATGCATGAGGAACCTGGAGGAAGGCAATGTCTCAGCATTGGTATCCTGCCTATCCCTGCCAGCTTTGGTGAGGTGTTTTGGGAAGGTGTCCATAGCCTGTGCCCCAGGGACTTGGGCCATCTTGACCCCAGGCAGCAAAAAGCCAGCAAGCCATCTCTCAGAGCCATATTCCCCCACTCCTTGTCTTCTCCATCTCCAACCTGCCCTGCCCTTTGCATCGCCCAGACCTGTCCGTGCTCAAACCCAGCTGGTCCCCTGCAAGTGTCCAAAGTGACACCGGCAGCTTGAGCGCTGCCACCAGCCAAAGCCACCCAGCGCCCTCTTGTGAAAAGCCCTTCCTAGCCACTGCTCGGGCTGACCCAGGTCTACCTGTCACCCTTGGGCACATCTCTGCAGTCAGGAGTCAGGTGCCGGGCTGGGTCCTTCGCAGCAAGCAGCAAGGCACGCTTTTAACTCTGCGCAGCCTTGGGGTAAGGCTTGGCAAATCCTGTGAGAAATATAAACGCTGATCTGTACGCGCACTTTTGTGGCTTGGCTGGGCAGCTGGCAATCTGGGAATCCTGCACAGATGGCCAAATTCCTGTTTTTATTTCTGTGAGAGAATTTCCATAAAGAAAAGGAGGCTATGTCTAGGGATGAAATGTAGGAGTGTGCTTAAATTAATGACAATCGGTCTACCTGCGTAAATACATTCAGTATAAGTGATTAGGTTTAATCTGTCACTGTGGACATCCTTTTTTTCAAAGACTGAGATGTGCCAGAGAGCTCTGCAAGGGGAGATCCTTGCCTTTGCTTTAAGCTCTCTTTGAAACTCTCGGTCCGCTCGCAAAGGCCAATGATTGAAGCTAATACATGGTGAGGTTACTACTCAAGGAGCGTTTGGTTTCTCTGCACCGAAGGGGTTTCCAGCTTTCAAAGTCTTAAGGAGTGCTTGAATTTCACTTTTTATTGTCCTGCTGCCATAGATTAACTGATTCTGCTTTCTAATGATGGTGAAGACACAGAGAGAAAGCTGTGGCAAAAATCAGAGAGGAAATCCCTGGCAGCTGCAAGGTCCTCATCTCCCAGGCTTTCCCCCCTCCATTACACAGCTTCCAGCTATACTGTTCAGGTCTGCAGAGCTGGTTAGATGTCCAAGACCAACAGATTTTCCCCCTGTAGGTTCCTCTTCAGGCACCATGAGAACAGGCATCTTCACACAGCTTTAGAACTTCCATTCAGTTCCCAGTTTATCAGCAAGCAAAGAGGGAATTTGACCCCTGCCCGTCCAGACTTCATACTCAGCCGCTTAAGACCTGAATTTGAAGGATGCTGGCAAGCGTCAGGCAGGCGTGGAGTATGTTGGTTTTTCTTCCTCCACCTCCCACTCTGCTTTTGAAGCTCAAAAAAAAAAAAAAAAGCTTGTGTTTTATACGTTTTCAAGTCCATTGTGTTTTCCTGTGGCCTTTTTGAGCCTGGTTAAACCAGTTCACCTAGAAAGGGAACTTCAAAAGGCCTGTTCCCTCCACTGCTTCATTAGTAGGGATTCCTATTAATTATCCCTCTTAACTTTAGGAAGACGATGCTGCTGGAAGCAGTCTTTTTCCTAGGAGCAACATCAACTTTTTCCTAGGAGCAACATCACACAAAGCCAGCAAGGAATACATAACTTTCATGGCATTGATAATGTCTTGGGATATGCCATGATGCTTGGAAGATGAAGGGCTTGGGATCCTGAAAGAGCAGGACGGTCTGAGATCCAGACACCTTAGTGTAAGTGTGTGCACGTGCAGTGGGTCTCCAAGCTGCTGCTGGACCCGCTGGAGATCTGGGGCTCAGTTCAGGTGATATCTCCGGCACCATCTGAGATGCCCCAGGAGCGCTGAGATGCCTGCACAGCACTGGCAGGTGGGAGGCATTGGGAAGGCAGTGGAGTGTGAGATGAAAGACAAGAGGGGAAGAAAAAGGCAGTTGTGTTATCCACCGCAGCAAGGTGAAAAGAGAAAAAGACTGAGAAATGAGAGAGGGAAGAGGAGAGGAAAACCTGAGGTGCGCTGGAGCGCGCTGGGATCGGAGATGCTGCTGGGGGTAGCAGCGGAGGGCTGATGTGCTTTCTTCCTCTGCATTTTCTCGCAGTCGGCTTCCCGCCGCGTCGGCCTCTCTTGTGCCAACTGCCACACCACGACAACCACGCTCTGGCGCAGAAACGCCGAGGGAGAGCCCGTCTGTAACGCCTGCGGACTCTACATGAAGCTCCATGGGGTAACGTCGCCGTTGATCTCTGCTCTCTACAGGGAGGGTTCCAATAGCACCAAGATGGGGACTGGGTTCGTTGCACAGCTCTGCTCTCCTGGAGCTGTTTATCCTGCCGTGCCTCTGGGCTTTAGTCCCCCTCAACGCTACATCATGTTTATATTGGCAAGGGGTGACGCACGCAGGGCATTTCTCACACACTAACTAGCTACCCATTGCATCAAAGTCTTAAAACCCAATAAAACTAGGCCCGGATTCTTCCCACCTAAATTCAGGCACTTTAGTGGAAAACCTGAGTCAGAAGCACAAAGAAGGGCTTTGCCCTTCTACACGAGGTGTCAGATCTCAGCTAAGATGTGGTTGTAGGCTTGTCATGGGATCAACAGATGACTTTTCTTCCATGGGTGTCCAGATAGTCTCCTCCTGTCCGTGGAGGCTTCACGTATCTACGCCACGTCTGATATCTCTAGAAGAGTCCTGTTGGAGTCCAAGGCGCAGCAGGACTTCAAGATGCGTATCTCCAGTCCCCCTCCTATCAGTCAGTGGCAACAGGGCCACCACCGTGGCAGAGACAGAGGCCTTCAATGCCCTGGCAATTGCTTAGTAGCAAACCCCAGTTCTGCTTCTCATTGCTACTCCTAGGGTTTTTATACACATCCATGCTCTCAAGGACGTCCAGTGGTTCAGACTGGATGGAAGAGCATTCACGAGAGACAGGTCAAAGTTGGAAGACAAGGTGGATGAGGGGAAGCCTTACCTAACCCAACAATTCTTCCTAGAAATCCCAGTGTGTTTCTGACTATGAGGGTGACTACCTCAGCAGGATCAGTTCCTAAGAGAGGTCTCCCCACACAGGCTTGGTACCTTTCCAGAAAGCAGGTATTAGCCAGAAAGACATCTTCTGCTCTGGGTTACATAGGAAAGTAAATCAGATGAGCTGTTGTTCCCTTCTGGCCTTAAAACACTCCATATCTATGGTGTGAAAAACCTGTCCCCATTTGGATGCACACCTTGTAGCTTTGACATATCTCTTCGCACAGCAGTGCTGACCAGTGAATTTGAGCTCCATCTTGTCATTGCTTTCAATTAAATCAGCTGGTTCTCATGCAGCGTACAAGGCAAAGATGGAACCACGTTCTCCTAGATGACCTTATGGATGTACAGAAACCAATGTGCTTTTATATTTGGGTCCACAGGTTCCAAGGCCTTTAGCAATGAGAAAAGAGGGCATTCAGACAAGGAAGCGCAAGCCGAAGAACCTTAACAAAACAAAGACGCCTGCAGGTAAGTGGTGGATGGGATAGTTTGTTGTAGGTGTACACGTGTGCGTGCTTGTGTTTCTGACCATCATGTCCTGTGAGTCAGACACCCAACCACAAAATGGGCTGATTCTTCAAAAATGGGGGATGTCTGAATGCCTTTCAGCAGTTACAAAGCCCTTCCCACTATTTTTTGTTTATTTTTCCCTAC